TCCCATGACATTTTAAAGCGACAGGTACTGGCATCTAAGCGTTCAAGTTTCAGATGCAAGACTTAATTGAGTGTGTCTGTATTTGGCGACCTGGCGGAATAAACTGAGTGATGTTAGTAGGAAGTACGAGCGTGCCACAAAAGTCCCATACAACCAGTGCTCATTTAGGTCTTAGTCTCTTCTGGGCTACTGTAGAAACATGGCAGTTCACTAATGGAAGGTGACCCATGGCATCTGTAGATAGGAACAGCTCATTAGGTAACAAAAACACAACATGAATATAATATTCCATTTCTACCAATAGATCCTCCTGAATGCTACACACTAACAATTATAGCACATGAATATGCCCTGTTAATATTCCCTTATGATTTCAATCTCCTCTTCCATCCTTTCAAACTCAGTTTGAAATCCGTGCAAGGACACTGCTGACAGTAGTGCACAATAGAAACAGGAAATGCAACTGTCGCCAGGGACTTGGGTTCTGTCCAGCCTCAAACAAAGAAGTGTTGTCCCACCTTTTCCGTAATTTAAAATGTTGCTGTGTTTTGACCCTCAGGGCCACGGTACGTATTCCAGGGAAACAGACTATGACCTGCATACAGTTGCAGCAGCTCTCACCTTAAAGCTGATCTTTATTTTGTATTCAACTCCCTCCTTCAGAACGAAGGCCTGCTTCTTAAAGGCTTCCAGGTCTCCTGTTTAAGGGCAAAAGGGGCAAAAGGGGAAAAAGGACAGGCATCAGTATTTAGTTGGTCACAGTGATGCTGATCATGATCATTAGACAAGAATTTAGTACTAAACCAAACAATACCAAGTCAAGATCTTATATTATTGTGGAGGAAATCTTGTCCTTTTTACAGTTTAAGTGTGAAGCACGTCTCCAGATGTTTCATTAAGGATCTGAGGATGACCTTGAGTCTGTTTAGTGAATCTTGTGGTTATGTCACATTATAATGCGAGTGTTTGACACTGGATGGCGAGTTGTGACTCTTGTCTGCTGCGAGTGAGTGTGACAGGACTATTTCACCAAAGGAACCCTGACACAGTGTGATCTGAAAATCTGTAACAGTGACATTATGTCATGGAGAATAATACAAAAAAGCATCAGCAACAGTATACTTGATATCCATGTATTCATAATATTAAACGTTAAATGATTCTCAAAACTTTTTCCATGATTTCTGTGAAGTGGATTTATAGACGTTAATGATGGACATTGGGGGACACACTGAATCTAAAAATCTGTGCATCATGTCTGTGTTATTACTCTGAGGAGAAGCTGGTATTTTAAAGCATCTACCATAAAAAGTTCAGTTAATAGCCTGGGTTTTTATTTGCTTCAACCACTGAACTCCACCTGCCTGTATTTGGGACAGAATTTGCTAAGCTAAGACAGAAAATGTAATTTCATCTTCACTTGTGTCACAGCCACTGCTGCTGCTAGAACTGCTGTGTTGATAGCAGGTCAGATCAGCAGCCAAACTAATGTCCCATTGTTTTAAGATCCCCGGTATGCACCTGTCCCTTCGACCTCAAGCAGCTCTCCCTCTGTCCCCCTGCGGGGGCGTGGAATGTTTGAAGACCTCTGTAGTAAAACTATTAATCCCACCACACAGTGATTATAAAACTATTTAGGATTACAATAACACCACAAATGGTAGAGAATACTTAATACAGTGTCCACGGGCGTCTAAAATAATCTGGCAGCCCCCTGGGTGCTGACCACACTGTTTAGAGTCACTGCCCTGTCGTTCCCAGGCCACTAAAAACAGGCTCTCGATTGGAGCGATAGCTTCCAGCATGTTCCTGCTGAGCTGAGCATGTGTCCTCCTCTTCCCGGGGGTCCGTCTCTTACACTGGTGAGCCTGAGCTTTAAGGCCCCAATAATCCAACATCAGATAGGTCTGGCATACAGAGGCTGTATTGATTCCTTTACTGGCAGTGACCTAACTCACTGACTAGGTTTTTATGACTCATTCTTAGCAGGCTTTTACTGTAACTTCAAAAACAGACACAGTATTTCAGTACTTTGGGTGACTTTTGTTACCTATTAACACTGAGGTACTATTAAGTAGTAGGCTAGACTGTACACCTGTACAATGAAAGCCATGGAAAAAATACAATAAAGTAAATAAATAAATCATTCTTATATGAAGTTTTTCAGGGGATTTTATTCAACCCTATGGACATTCTGAAAGCCATAGTTATAGCTGGTGTTTGTATTGAATTTCATTATATACTGAGGGGAGGGGCCTCATCTATGTAATGGGGTAGACAGAACAACTACAATTGTATATACTGTGTTAAACATATAATATATGAATATACTGCTAACTATTTAAAGCAAGGTCTGTAAATCATCAACAGTAACCTGAACAGAACTGGGATACGACCCAAAACTATCTGCTAGGTGCTACTAGGGTTACTAAATGTTTGTTGTATTCTTTTTCATTAGTAATTAACCTTTAAAGGACAAATCACCTTTATAGCACCAGAAACTCACCCGAAAGCCAAAAGTTTGAGATATTCAGATCTGCATTTGAGCTAGCTCCTGCTCCTGAGGTACTAATTTGTTATGATGGCCCAAGAACTGTCCGGGTGGATTTCCAGTACTGGACCATGAGGACAAACAGAAGCAACTGCTACAGCTTGTGTACAGTGTTCATTAGGGATGGAGCGGTTCAAATCAAGAATCCAAACCTTTCTTTACGCTAGTCATGGCTCGGGATGTGTATGTATTGTTCGGTTCATTTGGAATAGGCTACGAGGTAAGGTTGTGTTCTGTGCCGCTGCTTCAGCAAAGCATCTCTCAGTAAGTATCTGCAATCGATTAACTAGCGGGCAATCTCCCCCCGCTCTGCCCCTCCTGTACAATCTACTGACAGTGGATCTGCAGAGAAACACACAGAGACGCTCTCTGGCACAGAGACAGGTGGAAGAGTACTGAAGGCAAAAGCAAGGTGAAAGTACTTTGTGAGTTAAGTAAATAAGAAAATAACCTCTATAAACAGCTATAGAAGCTTATTGTAGTAATGTAGCCTATTCTTTCAAATATGTTCAACATGATTAGTAATATGGCCATTTGTCTATCAAAATAAAGCAGCATTTGTGTTTGCACTAATTAGAAAACCCATTATTTTAATTAAGATTTGACAATGAAGTGTTTATGTTCCTTATGTTATTAGCCAGAATTTTGTTAAAGCAAACAACCTCCTTGCCAAATAAATGAAAAGCATGTAAAAAAAAAAATGGCAAAAACGTACCGAACCGAAAACAGTGATCATATGAACCGAACTGTGAATGAACTGTTCCACCCCTACTATTCTTTTTTTACCTGAAAAGCACTACATATTTGAGTTTGCCCTTCCTAAGTCCCGTCACTTTTTGCTCTGTGCTCCAGTATCAGTTTGTTAGCCTTTCCTTTCCTGTACATAGATATGCTATGTGCCTACTCAACCACATTTTGAAGTTGGTTAAGGTATAAAAAGGACGTAGATAGTCACATCTTAAGTTAGCTCATGTAAGCAAAACGCTACCTAACTAGCTAGCTAATCTACACTGGGGTTCTGACCGAGGCTTGCTCCACAGTGACTGGAGCACAGAGCAAAAAGGGGCCAGATTTCATTCCAGTACGGAGTACTATTTTGGACATGAAAATGGTCTGATTTAGAGAGCTGCATCAATATGAGCTCTCTGACATTAAACAAAAATGACTGAAAACCCATTATCACTTACACTTTGAACTTTGTGGGCAGTCGCTATTTTTTGCTGAGAAAGTAGGAGAATTAAGAGCGATGCAGGGAGAGGCAGACACAGGACAGAATGTTCTGGATGGATTCTAATCTAGGCCAGCTGGGGCACGAGCAGCTACGGAGGCGGGGCGGGGGGGTCTTAACTGATAAATGGTCACTGGGAATATTGTAAGTACATTTCTACAGTCATCAACCAAACAGGGAAAAAAAAGAATCCAGTCTATGTACCTCCTCTATACCTCTCTACCTCTGTAGGCAATCAGTGAATCCATATTCATTTACAGCATGCTCAGCACAGACTCAAACCTTCACAGACGAATCTGTAAGTACTGTTGGATGAAAATCAAAACAAGCAATGTCAGTGCAGCTGTCAATGGGATGCTATATTTGACTGGGACAGATATAGTTACTAGGAAAGACACGGAAGAACATATTTCTGTGTTGAGACGATACGTGGAGAAACAAACTATAAGTTATCAGTACAACTATTAATGTTTGGACCTCTTTTAATTTGACGCACAATCAGTCTGACGGCAGCCATACTGCTGACCCGTTGCATCCTTTTGTTGCAGAAGGCAAATATCTTAAATAAATATGTGATCTCTATTTGCTGATAAACAGGGACTCACCTTGCAGGTCCAGGATCAGAGGGTTGGGGGCAGTTTCACAGACAAGGGACATCCGGGTCACTTGAACATTGGGAACAGAGGGATCTGAGACAGGATCAAAGAAACAGAGCGTTCAATAAAGACAACCAAGACTATTTCAAACACACCATGAGGTGACATTTTAGAGACTGTACATTTACAGCTCCCTGTTAAACACCTCCGACTGTGCCATTTAATTACCACCATTTACCTCCACTGTTCATACTGTGCAGACTTTCACTGGATACCTTTTAACAACATCACAGAACAGAGTTTGTGAGTGCAGTTAACTGACAGGTATTTGTTGTGGCAACGTTTTTATGTACACATGCAGACAACTTAGACCAGAATCCAAACACTCACAAGAGGCCTGCACAGGATGCGTGTCCTGTAACAAGCAGCTGTCTAAGTGAGTGGGCTCATGGGAGCTGAAATCAGGACAGCTCTGCTGTAGTTGGGACAGCCTCTGCATTAATTAGACTTAGGTTTCTTCTCAGTCCCACTGAAGCAGCCTTTTCTCCTCCCCAATAGACAGCATACTGATTTATCATTTGTTCAACATACTAGAAGATACTAGGTCACAGGCTGCCATGAATGTATGCATAGTGTATACACACAACTCCATCTGGAAGTCTGATTTAGCTTAGAGGATCTGAAAACCAATACTGCATCTCAGCCCTCGGTCAGTCTCCATTGAAGTTGAAATAAAGGTTTTTTGCTATACTATCAAATAGGGCTGTGCGATATGATGATATATTTTGTGTACGTCTATCAATTCAAATTTTGCTCTATTGTTTATTTCATTGGGTCACAAATAACACTTTTCTGGAGTTCATATGAGAAAATGGGCTCCTAAGGGGTTGATGGAGCAGGGATGCAATGCAAAACAAGCGTTTCACTAGCTCACACACTACCACCATCAGCTCACTTTGCTTTCTTTTTCCCACATACACAAATGCTGTGGCACCAAGCCTTAAAGTGCTTTACCTCACAAATTTCAACTAGCAACTAACATGATCAGTCAGGGTTATTGGATCTGATATTCAATATTTTGATATTCTGCTGATAAACTGAAAACTCAAATGTCAATACAAATGTAAGTTTTACTAGTTTTCTTTTCAGTTTTACGCTACTTCAGGGACATATTTGTTTATTTATTTCGATTTTCAGTGAACTTTATAAGAAATGCTCATTGGCTTCCTGCACTTGTTTTGATAATGTTGAAAAGTTCTCCTTTGCAGCATTCAATTAAACATATAAAAGTACTCAGATCTTTAAGTTAAAATGATATAATATACTTAAAATACCTTAAGTAAAAATGTAGAATGGCATTTCAGAATAATATAGATTAATAATAATAATAATAATATAGACAGTTATCTGGTTAATATGCTCTCTTCATGCCAGTGTCTCTACTATTTACATTGGGTGAAAGGTAGTAGTCTGAAGAAGAAACGGCACTAGGTATGGTTTGTTTGGATAAATAATAAGTGTGTGGTGTATTGTGTGGTCAGTCTTTGTCTACATAAATGATCGAGGGGATCGCCACACATCAGCTTGGTAGTTAACAAATGTGCACAGCTTGAGTTGATGGAATCTCCCAGTTCAACTTGTTCTAAGCAAATTCGATCTTTGTTTTAGGCTTTTCACCTTAAACCCTCAGAGTCTGGATCATTGATATTCAAGGTTGTGAAGCTGCTGGTCTGGTTACAGCTCGTCTACACAGGAGGTGTTTCACACGCATTCTTCAGTCGTCCGTCTCACACACATCTGACAGAACACATAAGCTCCTATTGTAATCATCCAGCAGTCTACACAGGCTGTTCAATGACTCGCTTTTTGAGTCTATTCTACTCCACTTTACGTGTATAACGACAGCGATTGTGTATTGGACAATGCTGAAATGCAGATGACCTACACTCAGTGCTGTGCCTGAACACATCCCGTGCAGACACAGACGGAGGACTGAAGCTGCTGCTCTGCTAACGTGCGGTTTTCTTTATGTGGACTATGTAGACACTGTGTTAATCTGTGATGCTAACGTTAGCTTTATCAGCAAGAGCTGAGAGCTGTAGTCAGCGGCAGCATTAACGCAATGCTATATCACCTTTATTAGGTGTTGTCAGCCTATAAATACACTGTTCTTATTGATCCTAAGACGATTTATTAAGACTTAATAAATGTGAACTGTATTGATACATCTTCTAGAAAAGATAAATTGATTAGTCTAGTTACAAGTTGACTTTTCTGAAACTGACTGGAAAAAAGAACCCTGGGAAACATTATTTTATCTAATTCTATTCTCGTACAAACAAGATAAATTGATGCTCATACTTGGTACCAGCAAATACAGGCCAGTAATTTACTTTATAGAATATTTTTGCAATGCTGATCACATACGTAATATTGGTTGGAAAAACAGAAAGATATTTTCCTCAAACTATTCAGCCCTCCCCTGATTTAGATTACACTTTAAATGCACCTGATACTTCAAAGCCCAATCTGTCACTCTATTAGCCAAACAGGTAGCTAGCATCCTTGCTCTCTCCTGCTTCCTCTCTCTCTCACACACACGCACGGACACATACAGTCAATGCATTACCAGCCTCAGTGACCCCAGAGCCAAGCAGGGTTTCTTTATATTTGCGTAGACTCTCATCGTCCTTATCCAGCTCGTGGATCTCCTTCACCGACTTCTGAGCCGGTGCCTTGTAGTTCACAGGCTCTGGCGTCTCATTTTCGGCGGCGATGGCTGCTAGCTGCTCTGGAGTCACCTGATCCTCAGCCATGTCTGGAGACAGTGGGTGCAAAGTGAGGAAAAATAGAGGCACGTAAAAATTAATCAGGTAGGGTTGAGACAGAACAAAAGGAGAACCATGACTAGGATTTAAACACACAGCACGCAGAGAACTCTTCCTGTACTCCTCATGCACACTTGCCTCTCTTGGGGAAGAGGTTGTAAACCAACAGAACAAACAGATCACTGCAACAATAATGCAACCGAGGAATGCTGACGGGACGTGTCCAGTGTGCTACGAGGTCGTGCTGATAAGACGGCAGCGGCGGCGTTTCTCTTTATGCTGCTGCTGACCTCACTCTGGCTGCTGTGCGACATCATCTGAACACATTTCTCTGAAATAACATCACCACCGCTAGCAGAGTGGTGAATGAGGCGTCATGCATCACATGACACGAAGCCTCTCCCTGGAGGGGGGCGTGGTCCCTGTGAGGCGTTTTAGAAAAAGATGGACCAATCAAACCACCAGGTCTCTCCACTGCTAGTGCGTCTAACATACGGGAAGCTCGCAGCAGTGTCCAACACGCTGCTCAGGTAATGCAGTGTAGTTATTTCCTTCTGTCTGCGTGGAAAATACCGTTTTGTGACCAACAATCTGAAGCATCAGATGACTTTTGCGCACAACCCTGGATAAGGCCATTCAGTTCGTATCAGGTAGAAACTACTCAAAAGAGAAAAATGATAATGATAAATTACTGCTAAGCCAATGGGTTTAAGTTTCACTTGGACAGCAAATAAGCTTGTGTGTACAGTCTGTGTCTTGCTAAGGAGGTTAGTGGAAGAAATCCCTCCACTGAAACATAATGAGTAACAAAAGCAGGAAGAGCTTGTTTATGCTCAAAGACTTGACATTCACATTAAGGCCATCCCACCCGCAGCACTGCACAGGCGCCACGGGCCGCCAGTTCCTTGTTAAGACTCAAGCAATGCAGTGTAAACATTTGAATGTAGTTTCATTCCTGAGAGTTACGTTCTACTACATCACCTTAGTGTTTACCTTTAATCACGTAAGTGCAGCAACTTTAATACTGTAAATAATTACAGCAACATTTTGTACTCCATTTGCTGCTCCAGGAGAAACCTAATGGCCGGTTGTGTGGACAACATTTAATTCGCCGTAATGTGGAAAAACCAGCAGAGTAAATTAAGGATGTAAACTCTCTTTGGGCATTTGCAATGAGTCTAATCCTCCACTGGAGTGCCAAATATGCAGCTCCTAGGCCGGCCTGGACAAATGGAACTGGAGACCTGTGTAAGACTTGCAGAGAGCATTTTACATTCAGCTGGAACTGAAAACCATTCGCCCTTTGATTCTATATCAACCCGTTTTGTTAATTGATTAATCCATTATTAACATAATAATATATATAATAATCTGTCAGTCAGTTAAAGCCCTATTGTTCAGATATTTTGATCTGGTTTTCTTAGTCTTCAGTGTTTTTAGATTGGACTAAAGAAGCTCAATTTTAATGGTCGTTCTTTCCTAGTTTCTGACTAAACAACTGACTGAATCATTAGGAAAATAACTGTTAGTTGCATACAAGCATTCAGCTATAGCAAAAACTAACTGTGAGCTAATTTTACCTCCAGCTCCCCCAAACAGTCCTAAGCCTGTAATAATGCTTTAATACCGACGTACCACAGTTTACATTATACAACAGCAACCACTGAGGGATTTAAATGCTTTCAGCAGCCACCCTCACCCACAGTGCTAGGTCAACTGTGGCAGTGATTGATAAGTAGTAGGGCTGCACAGCCAAACGTGTCCTTACTGTTGGACAATGGAGGCAAAACAGCTGTGACGTTTTTAATGTCTTGACGGGCTGTTACTAATACTCACAATAATCCTGTAACATTTGCAAGGCCGTTGTGATTATTATTATTCAGATTCCTCCTTCTGGTTTGAAGAGAGAATCTCTGAGCGTACCTCTACCAGGGTCTTTCCTCTGACCCGCCCAAACTAACTGAGGATTGTCTGTGAGCAGTAAAGGCGCAAACTCTGACGACTGAGGAGGTTCAGTCACAAACATGCCTGAGCAAGGTCCAAAAACCTCCTCTGACTACTTTTGGATAACAAGAATGTGACTTCAAATATCATTCAACCTTTATGGAAATGACTGAAGCCCCAGGAGAGGGTGGGTCACAAAACAAAACACCCCAGCAAGAGAGTCCAGACTCTTTTTACATTACAACATTCCTTTGATCTCAAAATGCACTCCCCTGTTTTGCATAACTAATTTTTATATTCGCAAAAGACAAAATTAGGATCAAGGCTGTTTGTAATGACAGGAGAGGCGCTGTTGGGGGAGGGGGCTTCAGACTGAATACATTATGTAACTGCTGGCATTAAACTCTCTGTCACTGTAGTGAAAAATCAAGACGTTCCTCCTCCCTTCTCTTTAGGTGGGAAGGGTTCATGTACGTGGCTGCAGTAGCAGAAAGTTGGGTCTTGATGAGAGATGTTCAGGATTTGTTACGTTTTCGTGACACAGAACTGCGAATACCTAAATTCATCCTGAATCGTGTGTTTCGTTTGTCTACAGTTCAAAAAGGCCAAAAGGCACAAGACTTAAGGAGTTGACCAAAAGTAATAGAAGAGGCTTCATCAAGTGCTGTCAGGCAAAACATTAACATTAAGAAGGCTCAGGATTGCAGTGGAATCCAGTTTGACACCCAGCTGGAGGAGGAAGCAATCTTCATCAGGCACTGCTCACTGAACAAGACAGGAAGCTAGAAACTGCAAATTCATATACAGAGAGAAAGTGTACAGGAGGCTGATGAAGGTTACCACTTCTGTCTGACCTGGGCTTTTCTGAGGAAATCTATTTTACTATTGAACAATAACAAGCCAAAGGGCAAATCAGTATGTATCCAGCCTCTTTCTCTCCCTGCAGGCCTGATAGAAATATGTCAAACAATACGGAAAATATATAAAAAACTAAAGAAATATTTCTGTTATCCCATTGTAATAAATGTGTCATTTAAGTCTGGCACATCAGTGTTACAAATCAACGTGTTTAGAAATCAGTGTAACTGAATAAATCAGTTTCTCCAGAAGAAGCAAGCTGTGATATCTCAACTGTGTGCTGCTGAATTATGTAATGTATGTAATGTATGTAATTGTTAGTGTAGATTGCTCGTATGATAATATGCCAATTTACAGCCATGTGGTGGGCAGCGATCTAGTTCCCTAATGTCCGCATTGGTGTGTTCCGTTTTAATCCATTCTAGTTAGTGTTCGTGATTTGTAAATTGGGTGTGGTTTGGTTGTTGTGGTTGTGTACTTTTATGTGGGTTTTTTGAGGGTACTGTATTAATTTTTTTTGCTGATTCTTTTTTGTTAGTTGTTGGTTGTGTGTTTGTGTTATGTTAGTGTCATGGAGTGGTGAGTGGTGATGTGGGCTACCAGCACTGGTTGGTTGTTCGTGGTGTTGGATAATCTGAGGTGTGTAACGCGGATCTGGTACGGCTTATTGGGTGGGTGTCTAGCTTAACGCTACACAGTTATGACTGGATCTCCAGTCGAGTGCGTTGTTGTGGAGTCATAGTTCCGGGCTGTAACAAGTCTTGCTGCTCGCTTTGTTAGCGAGTCTCGGCATCTGTCGATGTCGGTATGGTCGTCGCATGGTTTAGTCGTAGGAATGTTAATTTAGGGTCCGGAGTGATTAAGATTGTTATTGTTTAGTTCTCACAAGTGTGTGCCTCGAGAATCTGGTGTCGTTGATGCTCACCAGCTCGCCGGCTCTTCGTATACATGAGGGTGGACGTGTTATAGTGGATGAGGGGAGATGAGAGAGAGAGAGTGAGGAAGAGAATAGATGAGAGATGACGATGACTAACAGAAAGGTGTGTCATAGTTGGTTTCGGCTTGGGATATCACAATCCCGGCAGCAATTGTTCTAACGGGCCTGTGTGCGGCTCTGTTGTATTACTGATTGTGTCCAGCGCGAATGTTCTGTATCAGCGGGACGCGGAATGAGCGGATGCATAAAAGCTCTATTCGCGTTTGTTGATGCCTCTTTGGTTACTTGTTTTTTATTACAAGGATGTGGGTGGTATTTACGCTTGCCCGCTTGGAACTGGAGATTTACGGCGCTGTGAAATACAGTGTGCGATGTATGTGGGTCAACTTGGGTGCCTTGTACTGGCGTAGGAGGCCGTCTTGCGTTTGGTCTGGAGCCCGGTCAAAGTATGGGCGTAGATTACACCAATCGGCGCCGCCTCCGTCTGCTGTGTTTTGCTGGATCGGCGTGGTCGGTCGTTTCAACTGGTTCCGTGGAAGAAGCTCTGGACTGGCGACGCTGCAGCAAATGAATCGGTTTGTGTTGCAGTGGCTGGTTGGTGTGCGGTGCGCGAGGGGCCAGATTCCGACAAGTTATCACATGGCTCGGTAATGGTTTGTGTATATTTGTATGTAGTGGATGTAGTATTTTTATTTATTCTTTGATTTTGTGATATCTTGAGTTTAGGTATTTGATTTCGTGAGTTTGTTATGTGTTTTTATTGCTTTATATCACTGAGTTGGGTTCTGTGTTATGGTGTGTGTTGGTTGGTTTTTGTTGTGTTGTATTGTATTCTGGGTTAGTATTAGAGTTAGGTATTATACTTGAGTTATATTCATTATTTTTTATATATCATTACTTGTGTGCTTAGGAGCTCAGGGGATGACATTAATATATACTTGGGTTGGTCAGTAGAGCCGTTGGATGTGTTTGTGGAATGTGTGTATCGGTGTTGTTTAATCTACTTGATGTTCGTATTAGTGTATTGGGTTTTGACTTTTATACTTTCAGGAAAAGGTGATCTCCTGTGATGACTCTTGTTCGCTTTGTTTCTTGTGTGTGTCTCAGTTCAAGAATTTCGTCTCC